AGAAAAAGCACTTTATAATCTAAGGCAGATGTTGTATATTGAGGGTTTTTAATGTTGTGCAAGGATGCATAATCAGGTTTTAGCCAGCCTCTGTTAAGAATCAACAATATACTTTTTTTTTGTCTATATCCAAGGAGCATCTGGAAATTGCTGGGAATACAATATAAACAAAGATTATATTTGTTGTATATTATCTGGTCCGAGTGCCAAATTTAGGCCATCATCGGGCCTTTATAAAAATTATGAATGCTAATGCAACTGAATGTCCAAACTGAATGGTCTCCTCGGAGTGAACCAAGACATTATATTAAAAAAAGGCACTTGTCAGATTAAAAAAAATAAAAGGCCCAACTCATTTTACAGAGGTCACTAAAGGCCATCGTGGCTGATCTGTTAAGACTAGCATTATGTGATGTGCACAATTCAGCAGGTGTGCTGATTATCAATCATATCTGGCAGCCGCCCCGATTCACCTGAACTGTTTCCATCACACGGTTATCTACAGAGAAGCAGACGGACGTACGCCGCTCTGAGACGACATGTTTGTACACGCCGTTTGTCATGAGGCTAAAAGGTGTCAGGATGTCCCTTACGAAGGTACACGGAGGAAAGGCTTTGGTATCAAGCTGTAGTATACACACAAGTTCCTGAATACATAGAGCATTTAAGTAGAATAGCTTAAATAATCTACTATCTCACACAATAACATGAAGCCCGATGCTAAACATCTACACAAAATACAGGACAAACAGTAAACGGGACAGCGGTTAATGCTCCGCTGACCACAGCCAACATGCAATGGCCCACAGTATGCAAAACAATACAAATCTAGACAACACTATTGGATTTATACACAAACGATTGCATAAATTTGAAGGAGGAAAATGCCTATAAACATTCTAGGTCTAAAGATACAGTATAAATGCTAAAGCTAGAGGATATGATGAGTACAACCCGACTGGGAGATACGTAACACAAGAGGCGCAGAGTTTTAGGCCTGTACCATCAGCCTGATGAAATTACCCATGTCTCACAGGAGCATAAATGTTTGGCCCTGAGGGCACGAAATGGACTGTAAACTACAGATTTGCAAACATTAGTTGCAGATGTTTGACTGAGGTTTTGGAGAACTGAAGCAGTAAGGCACAAATGGAATCAAAGGCCTGTAAGTGGTTCATCTCTGCTTCTACAGAACTCAAGCCTCAAATAGGCTGAAAGTGACCGATGGAGGGATGCATACAGTTAATGAACTTCTCGGCCCAACTAATAATACAGCTGTTCTAAAACCTTGAAAAAATATACGTATGTAAATAATCACTAAAATGCCTCAAATAAAATAATGGAATGATGGAAGTGAGCTTTGTGATTAAGACTCATTATGGTTTAAAATGACTGGCCACTGCAGTCCTTTCTGGACTATATTTCTCTCAAATGATGGACTTGGAGAAGGAAACCCTAAGATGGTGGTTTTCTCCGAGATCATGGTTGTGGAACTGGATAAGGGACTCGATCGCTTCATCCACCGAACCCATCTGAATCAGAGCCATCTTGCGATCCTTCCTGAAAGTTGAGGAATTCGTTAGTATTTCTTGCGGATACACTGATATAGAATGTATGTGCTGACGATAATCATCAATCAACAGATTGTTGTGGCCAAAAATTGGATTTGAACTCAAAATGACCAGGTAACAAGTTATTTAAAAACCACTGACTAAATACTAAAAACC